CGCACCATGTAAACAGAAACTAGCCAGTGCCAAAGGGTCTTACAAATGACACAGCCCTAGCCATTTCCTCCCTTTGGAGAAAAAGAAAATCACAGGTAGGAACTATACCTCGATCCATCCCACTCTGCCTCACTGGGAGGAGAGAGTGCCAGAGTAGGAAGGCAAGTGGGGCCTAGAATGGGTTTTCTGAGTGGCTGGAACCTGTTCCATCGTTTGCAGATCATCAGCAGCCTTGATCAGGGGCTGGACCAGCGGAGATGAGAAGGATTGGACTCAAGCCAACTTCTTTTCAGCTTTTATAGGCACTGGCTTTCTGAAGGAAATTGAAACCAGGTGCTCTTTTTTTCACAAAATATTGCTTTACAGTCCACTCCTAGAAAGGGCACAGCAGTATTCTAATCAATATCATCCCAGGGAGAGTCAAACAGGCTTCCCACTGCCTTCTCAGCCTCCAGGTGACAACTGGGCCTGCAGCTTTCTCAGGAGGGAATACAGTCCAGCCTCCCCCCACCTCTCCTCCTCCTAGTAGAGAAGGGCTGGGGGCAGGAGTTGTTGGATTGTTCTGTTTCTACTAATCTGTCCCTAAGCAAGTTTTCCCTCAAGCAATCCATCCTGTCTTCATTCTCGGACCACATTCCACTTCGGGTTAAGAGATTTCAGGAGCTGGTTGGCCAGCCCCATTAGCAGTGGGATTGTTTCCTCCCTTAATGCACCTTTCTTCCTGTGCTATGGCAGTAAATTCAGGCGATAAATCAGCCTCTACTTGAAGCAGTAGTCACAGAGGGACAGTGGTGGTCAAGGGTAAGTGGGAGGCAGAGAGGAAGACAATTCTATTTTTCACGGGATCTCTAATTGGTTGTCACTGCCTGTCAGAAAATGATGACAAACTCCAAACCTGGCCTGAGCAGGTTCACACTAGCCCCCCTGGAGACTGGGAGTGTCAGAAAAACTGGGGTGCTTGGCCAGCTGGGGCATTAGGCTGTGACCGCCAACCTCTGCACAGGGCCCATTGGTGATTTATTTTCCAGATAAATGACCCAATACATTCCTAACACTCAGTCAATGCTCGCAGTTTGGTCAAGTAAAGGGAATGTGAGAGCTGACTCATTCATTGGTTTGAAATGACTTCATTTAACAAATATATATTTTCTGCCCCATGTTCAAGACCTTGGTTGATGGCTGGGGGGAAAAATAGGAGAAGTGACTCAAAGATGAGTCAGCGGGGCTGCCACCCCTGCTTGCAGGAGATGACATATATGTAAATAAGCGTCAAGATGCAAGAGACCTTAAGGAAGGATCCAATAAAGTACAGAGAGAGTTCAGAGGAAGGAGAAATGATGATGTGGACTTTTTAAAAATCTTAAGAGCAGAGTATCTAAAATGTCATACACACAAATCACTAGAGCCATGATTTTCGACTGCTCTTGACCAAATTAGTGAGCAGTAATCAGTCGTGAAGTATTTTGCAAGGAGTTTGTTGATCATTCACGAATGCAACTGATATTTAATGAGCACCTACTATGTGCCAGGCTATGTGCCAAGGATACGATTGTGAACAAGACAAGCACAAGCACCTGGGTGTGAAGCTTACAAATATAATATGAAAATTTCCAAGCACGGCCTGTTGAGGGAACTGATAGGAGCCTGCTGGAGCAATTCTCACGAAAACATGGAGTAGGAAGCAGGGTAAGAAAGATGGGCAGGCCAGGGCAGGAGGGGTCACCGTGAGGAGTCTGGACTCTATCCTCAGGACAATCTGAAGCCACTGAAGATATACGCAGGGGAGTGACATGGGGAGACTTGCCGTTCTACAAATCACCTTGCTCGTATGTAAAGAAGGAATCCCAGGGAGCCAGACCCCTTGTGGGAAGACATTTGCTACCTTTTAAAACTTAGAGCAAACTCAAGGTCCCTCTGCCCCCCGTAACAACCCTGCTTTCACATGCTTACACCTGACAAGCTTTCTCGACAGCTAGTGTTCCAGAACCGTATTTCCAGAACTGTGCTGTATCCACACCAACGTCCGAACAAAGGATCGGCAGCAGCTGTGGTTATAAATCACTGTACTGCGCATGAATTGTGATTTCTTAGTTCCTTCCATTTGCTTTTTAGTTTTACCCATGGTAATTTTTTTAAGTAAAGAGCATCCGTGGCACTATATATTTTCCATTAAATTGGAGAATGTAAGGGAGAAGGGGATTACCAACACCCGGGTATGGCCGTGTAATATATCATGCCTAACTATGTCAACAACCAGAGAAAAGAAAGCTGCGGTCGGGGATAACTCCATTTGCCACACTGTTAGATCATTCTATTCGGTAGCCCGTTCCAAAGGAATTTGGTTTCAAAGGCATTAGGAAGTCACAGGTACAGGGAGAAGTCAAATCATACCATCTGACTAATCCCAAGACTGTCTAATGCTTCTTGTCTTGCTCAGGGTAGAAATAATATCCTTACGATGGTATGCCAGGGCCTGCATGTTCTGCACCCTGTCCCTCCTCAATCTCTCCCTTCTGCCACCTCTCTGATCTTACCCTCTCCTACACAGCCCTCCTCCCTCTGCCCCAGCCACATTGGCCTCCGGGTTCTTCCCAGAGTACCTGCCTGCCTCAGGATCTTTGTACTTACTACTTCCTCCACAGTTATACATGGCTCTCTCCCTCACCTCCTTCAAGTCTTTGCTTAATGTTTTTCTTAGGAGATATGAAAAACGATATTCTTTATTTTGAAGAACACTGCTAACCAAGAACATCATGTTTGTCAGTGCCTGCAACACATTTAACTAGCCATCTTACAAAAGTTTACCAAAAAATCGGAATGGACAAATACAATCATCAGCAGTTTGACATAAAAAGTCCTGGCCACCAAATAACAGAGGCCTGACTGAGATGTCACCCAACCAACTGGGCCAGCCAGAAAGAAAAGCTACCAGCCCCCATAAAAGTCTGACTTGGACAGCATAGGCAAGTATCGCGAATTCCGTTAGATTCTAAAGGTAATCCATCTCAACAGTGATGATGTAAGTGAGAAATATGTAGCTTCTGATAATCAAAGTTTAATGTTTAAAATTCTTAACATCAATTTTTAATCTTGACTAATGGTCATGTAGAATCTAACTTTGAAACATAACAGCCAAAGTAAACCTTAATGAGGTTCTCTCAGAGCGCCTTATTTAAATTGTACAACTCCCTATATTTCTTATCTCCCTTGCCTGTTCCCCGCCCCATAGCAGTTCTCATCTTTTAATAGATGAGTACTTATTTATTCTGTACTGAGTCTGTCTCCTTGTCCTGCTCCACAGGACAGGGATTTGTGTTTTGTTTACTGTTATACTTCCAGGGCCTATAACAGGACCCAACACAAGCAGATAGGTGATGAATGTTAAATGTTAACGGACCTTGAAGACAAAGATTTCAGTTACTTTACCTTTTTACCTTTCTTACTTTCTCTTTTATTTTTTTAGCAAACCTTGCCTTTCTAAATATGTTTCACTTAAACTCAAAAGAAGTCAGCTGATCTTGCAAAGACAAGAGTTTAAAAAATAATTACAACTGACCCCTGAAGTCAAAGGTTAGTGCGTTACATGACCCTTCTTATAAAAACACCCTCAAAGCTTTCGTTTCCTTTTCTAATGCTTTCAAATTCAGCCTCACAGCAGACTCAGTTCCCAGACTTAAAAAACTGAGACACACAAAAAAGTAGCTCTCCCACGGCCATTTGGTTGGTGAAAATAATCGTGGTAATTTTAAACATTTCATTCATAAGCCATTCCTTATTCCTGCAAAACACTGGGCTTGTATTTGGATCTGGAGACAGTTCCTGGGTCCCATGTACCACTCGGTCGCTTCCCCGCGTTCTGAGGTCTCCTATGAGCAACCTCCGAGACTCACTGTACAGCTGTGGCCTGGGGTCGCCCAGTGAAAGGAAAAGATCCAAATGAACATAACCTAGCTCGTGCCGCTGTTGAACTGCAAGCAAGAGTCCCTGGATTTCTCCACAGACCCTCTCCCACCTCCTGGGGAGAAAAATCAATCATCAGGAAGGCAAATGCCAAGATGCCAAACCACTAAAAGAAGTTCCCGTTTAATGTTGCTTCCCCACACCCAAAGGCTTTTAGACAAGCAGGAAAGTAGATGCTCTTTTTGGCCTCTACATTAGGGTCTCTCTGAGCATGTGGCCTGGGGTCCAACTCTGCCCTCTCACCTTACTACCAAAACCATGAACCTTACCCTGACACAGGGCACTTTAAAAACAGCACAGCTAGCAGTGCTGCTAGACAGCGATATGTCCTATCATCACAGGGAGCGGGTGGGGACACGAGTAACCCTCTGCGATGCTCTATTATCACTTTGAAAATATCCATCAGACCCTATCTCCCAAGGCCACCCTGATGCTTTTTGCTCTTCTTTCTCAGACTTTTCTCCCTCTAGTTCGTTAGCAAAATAAACCCAAAGTTTAGTGTTTCAAGAATGAAGAAGATGTGACAATGAGGTGAGGCTTTTGTGGGTATTTGAGAGAAAAAGCAAGTCCCCTGCCAAATGGGGGTGACCCGGAACCCCTGGCAGAGCAGCCCATCATCACAGTTGCCCTTATTCTCCCTCAGGGTCACTAACCTGTGATAACAGACCTGAAAAATACATTTCTCAGTAGAGTCAAAGGAAAGCTTCTAGAATCTCAATAGACAGACCAAAGGACTATAAACCAAAGATAGTTCTTTCCAAACTCTAATGTAGAGAGAACATAATTCAGAGACCCAGGTGAGTGGAACTCAATTTGACAGCAAATCTCTTGCTGTAAAAAGTATGAACTGGATTAGCCGAGTGGAGCAGAGGCCACCTGCTACCTTCGGCGACAAAGCGAATGAGTGCTGATGTAATTATAAAGCACAGAGCTGCTCTAGGTGACACTAGAGCACGTCCCCAGAACTGCCGCCCCTTCCTGGCTCCCCACCTTTCCTGAGCCCCATCCAGTTCCCTTCGAGCAGCTGCTCAAGAACTCACTTTGCGGAAGGGCATGCCGGTCCCTCACCAGCGACCCTCCGAGGGTCCGACGCGCTTTGCTGCGGGTACGACCGGGGCTGCTGACAGCGCCACCGCTATGATGGGGCCTGGGATGTCTGGGGCCCTCGGACAGGCCTTATCAGCAGCATAGGCGCAGGCAAAAGGGAGGCACCCATCTGGGTCATGCAGATTACAGGGCTGCCTGTTTGCTCCCGCTCAGCCTGTATAACCCGGCCCTGCGCGCCAGGCCTCGGCCGTGCAGTCCCTGCCAAGGGCCCCCTCGGGCTGCCAGCAATGCAGGGGCAGCCCCTCCGAGAGCTGTGCTTCAGGGAGGTGAAGAGAACACCTGCTCACTGCCTCTCCCCCTCCGCCAGCTGCCAAGTTTGGGAGCCAGGAATTCTCCAGAGACCAGGCTGCATGGAGAAGGCTCCTGGGGAGACAAAGCCCCCAAGTGAGGGCAGCGTTCCTTCCATGGGCAGAGGACTCCACCGGGAGCTAACGGCCTTCTCTGCTTAACCGGCCCTGGCTCTGCAGGACACGCGGCTCCCGCCCTCTATTTTTTACAAACTTTACTGGGGGCCCCTGTGTTCCTTAACTGCTGATTTGCAGGGAATCTGGGCACAATCTTAATAACACTGGGGCCAAAAATAACAACCTTCCTAGGAACCAGAGGTGAGTCACCACAAACAGCACTTGAAGGGCAGGGGGGCCAAGGCAGCTCCCCACACCTCGCTGCCAGGACATCCGGGCTGCCCAGTGAGCCCAGGCTGGGCCTGTCCAAGGCCAAGCTCCTGCTGGCCTGTGTTGGGAAGGCTTCTTTTGCAACATCCATCCATCGCACAATGGGTTGAGGTGGCATCCACCCAGAGTGGCTTTATCCGGTCAGAACACTGTGCCCTGGAATGGCAGCTGGTGGCTGACAGAGGGAATGGATGATCCAAAGAAACTGAGAGAACACTGTGCCCTGGAATGGCAGCTGGTGGCTGATCCAAAGAAACTGAACTGTGAGGCCTGGAGAATGGCATTTTCCCTGGGGTCTGGGAGCGGCCTCACCTACATGGGGGCTGCTTCTTATATGTAATGTGTCCATGTTTTTTCATTTGTTGAGATGTATTGACACCACTGGGTTCTGTCCTGCCCGAGAAGAGTCTCTCCAGTCTCCCTCACATGCCTCTCAGCCTCCTGCTGGGCTGAGGCTGGTCCAGGTCCCCTGACAAGCAGCCATCTGGCTTCACAGCTTTCCCGCAGATCCAAGTGGGTCCTGCTGTGAGGGCACAGCTGTGGCTGAAAACACAAAGGGCCCCACCGTGACCCTCTGTTTTCCACAGCAGCTGGAAAGCCCCCAGCGGAGGCCAGGCCGTCTCTGAGCAGACCAGCACCTGATGTGGTGTGGGGAGGGCAAAGCAGGTTCTAGGCTACATTTTGACTAAAAATAACCAATACAATCGTTATAGCACAAGTCCTTTTGAAGCACAGAATTCAAAACAATGGTGTCCTTTTTCTTTTTTTTTTTTTTTTTTTTTTTTTTTTTTTTCTTTTTTTTTTTTTTTGAGAGGGCCAGAAAGCTAAAACATAAAAAAGAAGCAGGTCATGGTAGGCATGATTTCAAGCAACTCTACCTCAGGACTAATAGTCTTATTTGTCAACGAAGATTGCGTTAGGCTAGTTAATGATGGCAGAGTGTTGCCCTGTACCCCACTTAGGTGCAGGAATGAGTTTGGAACTGTGGCAGAACCGGTACCCAACGAGTGCTCAGTAAAGGTTTCTGAAATGGATCCATGTTTGTCACCAGCAGGGCGATAAGAGCAAGAAGCCATGTCGCCGACCAGGAAAGAGGAGAAACAATATTTTTCTCTTCAGAGTTCCTAAGCTCTGGGGAGAAAATGCCAGCAAGTAATCATGGAGTGTAACAGTGATTTAAAAAATGCCCTGTATGTAGAACTGTAAGTAATTTTAAATCTTTGCCAAGAGTAGATGGTCAGGCAGGCTTGATTCTGCGAGGTCCTTGTGTGGTGCTTCCGGTGGCAAGACAGTCTGTCACTTGTCCTTGAGCCCTGGAACTCCAGCAGCTCAGGTCATCAGGAGCCAAGGCACCTCAGAATTTAAACCCAGAATAGGAAACTTTAGGCAATGTAAGGATATTGTCCCATGGATACATCAAAAGGGGAAAAAGGCCAGACACAGGAAGGACAAACCGAACCACCCGGCTAAAGGGAACTGGGCCGGTCATGCAAGCTGCTTGGTTTTAAAGAACTGGACTCATGATGTGCTTGAGACCCCTAAATTCGTCCCTGGAACACTGTTTCCTGTGACAATCAGGCTAAGAATGAGCACATTATACGATGTGGGTTGAAATGATATTTGTCACTCCCTTGTCAGCAGATTGCTCCCAAGAGCTTTCACAAGTGCTCTTCCATATAATACCTTTCTTTCTTCTTAATTTCTGAAAGGAAGCCACAAAAGTCGTCCCAATTGGTGAAGTGCAAGGCCAGGCTATTTCAGGACTGTGAGGATCCCTTGAAAATTCAGCACTCTACCCCACCACCCAGTCCTTCACAAGCCCCTCTCCTTTCTTTTATTTACTTATGCACAAGCTTATACTCAGTGCTTCCCAAGTGCCAGGCACTATCCTAATCGCTTGGCATTCACTCCCATAATCCTTTTAATTACTCTGTGAGATAGTCACTATCATCAGCCCAGGTTACAGATGAGGAAATTGAGGCACAGAGAGATCAAGAAGCCTACTCATGAAGAAGCGGAGCCAGTTTCCAACCCAGAGATCTGGATCGAGGGTCCGGAGGCTGAGTCCAGCATTTTGCTTTGGGATTAACACTTTTAGCTCACAATTAGCCAGTCCATTTTCCTTTACAAGTATGAAATTCAAAAACTGGTTGTTGAATGTTTCAAGTGTTCTTGTCTCGGTGTTTTATTTTTAGAAGATAATAAATAAGTCAATAGAAGATGTTTTTAACAGATTTTTCACTATAAAAGTAACGACACCCTCACTGACAAAATGTGGAAAATGGAGAGTATTGCATATAATCTCAGTCCCCCTCAGTCCTCCCAAAATTTTGAGGTATTTCCCTCCAGCCTCTCTATCCATATTTCTCTTATTTTAATGTCTTTATTATGAAATATTTCAAATGAAAAGAAAATTACAGAGACCTCCTGTATAAACACTACCATGTCCACTTCTCAGCTTCACTAAATTATGCTATACATGTCAATTTTTTAAAGAACCAAAACATTATAGATACCTTTGAAGCCCCTGGGCAATGCACCCTAATCCCACCCTGCTCTATGCTAGAGGTAGGGACTAATCCATGAATTTTCAACACAAAAAATATTTATTAATCCAGACTTTGTTACTTTAGGCTATGGAATCTAGAAAATGCCACTTACCCTTTCTGAACTTCACTTCTCTTTATCTATAAAATGGGTATAAAATACCTTCTCTGCCTGCTTCAAAGGATCGTTATGAGGATCTTAAGTGCTCTATCTAAAAGCACTTTATTATCAACAGAAACGAGTCATGCTTCTAGATAGTATATGTCAAGAGTGATAAATGACCTGATTTATGCATTCCCCTGTTCCTGATAAATCAATTCAATGAACTTTTTTTTTTGGCAGTATTCAAAATGCCAGTAGCCTCTGGCACACACTCTCCTTGAGCATCCACACATTTCCCCGAGTTGACTTCCCCATCCTGCCCATTTGGTGAGAACACATTTATTCCTTTAAATACATGGGCAATGGGAATTTTTTCATAAGATACACATTTTTTTTCTAATCAGATAGCTTAGAAAGATGATAAAATAACTCATAATCTCACTGTCCGAATATAATCATTATTGTGACTGCAAGGTCAAATCACGACAGTGTTTGGAACCCAAGCCTCAGAGTCAGATGGATCTGGGTTCCGCCACTTAGCAGCTGCATGACCTTGGGGCACCTTACTAGCTACTCTCAGTCCCTAAATTACCTCTGCCATGAGATAAGAATAGGAATGCTCACTTCCGGGAGTTATGAGAGGACTAAATTGGACAACACATGTGCAGAGCCCTGCCCCACAGCAAGTGCTCAACAAATGTCACCTGGCGTTTTTATTCTAGTGACTATTTCTGCAACTTTTAAGAATGCACACACACATAATACATATGAACATATATGTGGTCCCGAAAATAAAATCTATGGTGTTTTACAACTTATTTTTGTTAACAACACATTGGAATATTTTTTTACATGAGAAAAAATACATATTTGCCTCATCTTTTAATGACTGCAGAGGGAGGCATCCCTGGGCTATTGGCTGCTTCATTTAATCTATCCCCTATTGCTGGATACTTAGATTCTTCCTAAAATTGTTTGCCAGATTTAGCAGTATTACCATTAATATCTTGTGTTCTTGAATATGATTATTTCCTTAAGATCTCTTTCCCAGATATTTTTCGAGACTGGCTGGAATCAAAGGTTGTGAACATTTCTGAGGTTTTGTCGATTTCCCTCTAGAAAACGTGTGTAACTGTTCTTCTGCACCCAGCTAGCAATGGGTATTTGTTATGATCCTTTTTTAACTCTTTGAAAAGTGAACTTTTTACTATAGGATTATCATCCCACAGGACTCACCAAGCTGCATGCCTGCCCTGCAATTCTTTGTCTTGTCTTGGGGCACAACGGGGGCACAGCTAGACCCATCTGACCACATCGGTGTGGCTCCATCTAGGGCCTGCACTTGCCTGGTGACATACTTCCGAGAACTGTCCTTAGCTGAGGGGAGTAGTCTTTAATCCCTCAGTCCTCACAGTTCTTTGTACATATTGTGAGTTAAGGGCCTGGCCACCTGGTCTGGCAGTTACACATGCTGGCTTAGCAGAGATTTATGTACCTAATTATCCCAATCCTTTGAGGACCCATAAAGCAAACACTACATTGACACCAAACCTGCACCCCTGTGAAAACCTCCAAGCCAACGGGAATTTCCTTCTCATAATAATCGTGGTAATGACGTACATTTGTAGAGCAACTTGCAGTTTGCAAACATAACGACATATGCTACGGCGCGTAATACTCAAACCAATCCTGGAGTTTTTATTATCTTTAAAAATTATTATTATTATTTCTGTTTTAGAAAGTGAGGCACTGAAACTCAAAATCAAACTGAGTTGCGTATGGTCCCACAGCTAATTAGTGACTGAGGCCAGATCTCTTCTGACAAAACCCCAGACTCTCTCACACCATACTGCTCCTCCTACTTTGTAAAAATGAATTCATTGTGTTGTTGAGCGTTAATTGATTACCAGTGTCCTATGGATGGGTGGCAGGTGTATGTTAGGGGTGAGGAGTGGGGGAAGTAAGAGAGAGAGAGCGAGCGAGCAGAGGGAGGGCGG